AAAGGACACTCGAGGTCAGATGACAAGGATGTATGAAGATTTTTATCTCATTTTGTTTTATTTCTCGAAATTATAACATTTAAGATGTAAAAAAAAAGAAAAGAAATATCTGTTGGCCAAAAAAATCTGTAACTTGTTTACATAAAAAGAAGAGATATCATAAAGCATTGAGAAGCTTTTCATAAAAAAGTTCGAAGGAAGCACAGAGGACATATATAAATTGTACTTAAATACTATTACTAGGTAAACTAAATTTTGAAGAAAAAAATCTCTACTTATGACTTGTAACGGTTTATGCTTTATGTTTACCTTCAGAAAAGAGGTATATATCGTATCACTTTTGTCATTTTCCATTGTCATAAAAGCCTTCTTTCATGCTAAATTGCTGTCACGTTCCACCTCGGTTCAGTGTTATAAACACATATACAGAGAGAGAGAGAGAGAGAGAGAGAGAGAGAGAGAGAGAGAGAGAGAGAGAGAGAGAGAGAGAGAGAGAGAGAGAGAGAGAGAGAGAGAGAGAGAGAGAGAGAGAGAGATTGAAAATGAATATAAGATCTTGTCAAATTCTTAGCAAAGTAAATATTTTTCAGCCCAATAATCCACGTTTTATATATGTGGCGTCAGAAATCAATATGGTAATACTATGATAATACTAATGGCTGAAACAATATACATAATAACAATAATGAAGAAAATGGTAATGGTAATGATGATAACAAGAACAGCAACAGACACACACAAACACAAACACATACACACACACACACACACACACATATATATATATATATATATATATATATATATATATATATATATATATATATATATATATATATGTGTGTGTGTGTGTGTGTGTGTGTGTGTGTGTGTGATATATATATATATATATATAATATATATATATATATATATATATATGTGTGTGTGTGTGTGTGTGTGTGTGTGTGTGTGTGTGTGTGTGTGTGTGTGTGTGTGTGTGTGTGTGTGTGTATTGTCACGCTCCTAAGATAATTGCGTATCTCATTTCTCTAGATTTTACAGCAGAGAAACAAAACATTTTGATTTATTCAGTATGCATGTTTTATTGTTGATTACTTGTCGAAATATCTCCCATTGGAATACATACCTACCACTTTGGTCAGCCACAGACTCATAATGTCATTTAATTGATATGATATTGATATTATAATGTATCATGACATAAAATTATCACGTTAGGTCAATATACAAAAATTAGAAAGCTGTTCAAGATCAGGCTACTAATGCGGCAGTGCATTGTAATAAAGTTATGTCAAAGGGGATAAAAGGTCGCATAAACTATTTGTCATTGAATTTTTCAGAGAGCGGCAGAGTTTGTCTAAAGCATTCACACCTATTTCAGTGGGGTTACTGGGGCTTGAATCTTTTGAGGCAGAACCTCCTACTCAACACTCTCATAAAAAAAATACCTTGTCATGAATCCCGCTAATTGCTATGGTACTCAAGACCGATTTCGTGGACTGTTGGGTCTCCTGCTTTCTCCCAAGACCAAATGCTATTGAAGTACATGCCATCAAGCTTGGTCTAATCATCTTGTACTAGCTAGTACACTATCTCTAGGGCTGGCTTCTGAAGAGCATGTAACACAGCTGAATTAAAGTCGCGGGGAGGGAAAAAATCTGGGAGAATCTTGCTTTCAATCTTGCCGTGCATGGGTGTGACCTAGAACGAAGTACTTCTGCCTGATCAGCACTCCTGACTGACTGGCCAAATAAGACTTATGCATTATCCACCACAACATTCCGCTTTATCTGCAGCTTCTTCAATGGCTCATAACCCTAGTTGGACCCGACTCTGAGCCCGGATCATTGGGTTAGTGTCGGGTTGGGGTTCATGAAGCAGCAAACGGCGCTAAGCGTGTACCCGAGTCACATCCTCGGGTCGAGGGTTTCTGAAAGTCCTGGATGTACATAGAGCAGCGTGGAGCGGGTGGACCACACCTCTGCATCATTTCTTTTATTTCTTCATTGCATCTTACGTAATGGAAAATGTCATAGAATGAGTGATCAAGTTTTCTAATTTCCTTTTTATTTATTACGCCCTCGACTTAGTGCATTCGTGCGCGATATAAAAACATAGAGATTTTGAAATTACAATTAGTGCTGTTTCAGCAGCCGTGTTGAATTTACACACCGAAGCAAAAATGTAGGTCAAAATAGGAAAGACTGGGAAGGTATAAGTTATATATCTACGTATTTTTATATTTTTTCCTATGGTATCTTTCATTATTTGGTTATGGTAAAACAAAGAATTTTCCTTCTGCCAGAGCTTTGCCTATTACAAGTGCTGTCCATGCCAGTCTACATATGTACGTGCACATGCACACACACACACACACACACACACACACACACACACACCACACAACACAACACACACATATATATAATATATATTATATATATATATATATATATATATACACACATATACAGAAGCAGGCATCTGCCAGGACAGGAATCACTGGATAAAAAGACGTCTCCTCAGGCAGACCTGGGAGAGACAGGAGAACAGGAGCAGACGCAGAACAGGGTAGGTCAACCTCCTCCTTCGGGACGCGGGTCATTCCTTTACATCCCCCAATAAACCACCAGCAAGTTCCCTTTCATTCACCAACTCCACGACCCCACCTTCATCATATATATATATATATATATATATATATATATATATATATATATATATATATATATATATATATATATATATATATATAGAGAGAGAGGAGAGAGAGAGAGAGAGAGGAAGAGAGAGAGAGAGAGAGAGAGAGAGAGAGAGAGAGAGAGAGAGAGAGAGAGAGAGAAGAGAGAGAAGAAAGATAGATAGATATGTATTTGTATTTGTAAATATATAATCAAACAACTACTTATGAATGAGTCTAGTTAAAATCTATATTTCACTCGATATCAACCCTATGAAGGGTGAGCAGACCTGGATATATTGCAAGTGCTCAGTAAAGATAATTAAATATACGTCAATCACATTAATCTTCACCAGATATTTGTTATACATAATTTTTTGATACTATAGTATAAACTTCACTGGTTATTTGATGTGTTTCATTAAAGAAGATATACTGAATTTTGAATATTAAATATGTATATTTTTATTGCCCTACGGACAAAAGTAACGTTTATGTTGATGAAAATAGACTTCTCTTAATTAAACAGGCTAAAGTGATAAGGCAAGATGTATATTCGCCACGAAGTTTGCGGGTATAGGTTATTGTAAGCTTCCCAATAATCTTCAACATTCATAACCGTCTTTAGAAAGTCACCGTACATATTCCCTCTTAACTTTTTAAGATTTGTTATCAATAGCAAATAAGTTGTCTCGTAATCGCCCATTTCTGTGACGTAATGGGAATGGCCGTGGTTGACAAGTTGCTATTTCACTGTACTGGTTATTTTTCCGACAGGTACTCAGTATTTTGGCATTATCTTTCATACTATAATCTTTACAATCAGCTATATCATTAATGTCATCCTCATTATCAATGCAAATGATTCAGATTATCATTAGTATTATCATTACTATTATTTCCGTCGTAATCACCATGGTGTGCGTGTGAGTGGGTGCGTGCGTGCGTGCGTAAGTGCGTGTGTGTGTGTGTGTGTGTGTGCACATGTGCGTACATGTGTGTACATGACCATATATATATATATATTATATATATATATATATATATATATATATATATATAATATATAATATATATGTGTGTGTATACATATATATTCATAGGGGTGAGAAGGTATTTAAATGGTGGGAGGGAAGCAGGTTCCCCCCAAAAATAGTTTCAACAGTTTGAAAAGATAAACTCATTCATTTTTTACACCAATATGTCAAACATTTTTCATCTAGAAAATACATAATAGTTACTTCACTTTGAACACCTTCAGATGCGTATACAACACAAAACAACTTTTAAAAGCTACCAAAGATACCAGATCACCCTGCCTATACCACACATGATCATAAGATATAATATTTCTACTTCTCTGATCCAAGTATACTTTAAAAACTGACTCCAACTGCCAGGTGGTCACTCCAAGATGGCCGCCGTAAATTTTGTCGGCTTTAGAAATGAAACCATGGATACTCGAGGCTTATATTTGAGATCAGTGCCCGTGCCTCATCGGATTATTACATATGCAAGAAAATGTGACTTTGGAAACTGAGTTTTGAGCACATGCTGGAATTATGGGATATAAACCTAATTGTCCTTACAAAAAAAAAAAAAAAAAAAAAAGAAAAAAAAAAAAAAAAACTGTATTTGCATACATTAAGTGACTGACTTCCACATCCCTACCATGATACATCATTATTGTTCACGTTATCATTCACATAGTGATGTGACTATTATAAATGATAAACGATAATTAAATAATAATGATAACAATGACAAATATAATAGCAATTGCAATGATAATGACAGTGGCAATAACGATTTGATAAAAAAGTGATCTTATATTTATACTTATTTATACTTATTAGCTATACTGAGGACAGTAATAGTAATGATAATGATAACAGAATACTTATTATTCTTATTATCATTCCTATTATTGGTGTTGCTTCGTTATTGTTATCATTGTTTTATCATCCTCATTATCACTGTAATTATTTTTTATTATCATGTATCATTAATATCATTTATATGAAAAAAAGATAAAATCGTATTTGTGGAGCTTATCCCTTCCTGACTGTCAAAATGTACAGAATTCAGTACAGTAAATATTTTACTCTGAATGTGACTCTAAAATATCATAAAGATCAACAACAAAACAAACAACAATAAACGAGATCAATATAATCAATAATCACACATCGCAATTATGAAAAGAATACAAAAAAAAACTCCAATAACAACATTAGCGAACAATAATCAGTAAAACCAAACAGGAGAAAATAAATAAACCCCAAAGAATGCGCACCAATGTCTACCGATCTCAACGAAGTCAACAAACTGTGCCGTCACCTGTTTTCCTCATCCGGGACACGGGAGGGAAATAATTCAGTAATTTCAGCATAAAATATCAGTCAAATTCTCCGTAATAACTTCTTGTGACGTCTGCTAATCACTCCTGATTACGAATGACTGGTGAATCATTCATGTGACTGATTATATACTTTATTTAAGAGTGATTTGTTCCTATAAGACTGACTGGTGACTCATGACTGTGACTGAGTGACTGTGTGACTGACTGACAGCTTCTCTCGCCTCGTTGACTGGTAAAAAAGGGCGGGGTTTTTCGTCATGGCTTCCCAGTGGAACGTTTATGAGAGTTTCCAGGCTCTGTTGCAGGTAATATGGCTTTTATTTTTTTTGGGGGGTGGGTGTAGGACTATAAATTTTTTCGTCTGTCTTGGAGGAACCAAATTTTTCCCTTTCGTTTTTTATCTTTACTGTGTTTTTCTTTGCTTTGAGGGGCTGTTTATTTATTTTTCGTCTTTTTTTTACGTGCAAGAAGTACTTGTCCTAATGGGCCTCCTCTGCCCCCGTTCAGTGTACGGAACTATAAGATTAAAATGACGACCTATGCTTCTTGCTCTCTAGGGGGTAGTTCTCTCGGGTAATTTTATGTAGCTGTCTAGTCTTGCGATTATTATTCTTTCCTTCAGTCTTCGATGCTGTAGTAGTGGGATTCTCTTGTTGATTTCCATCGCAAATGATATAAACGAGAGTATATAGTAAGGTTTTCAAAGTGATCTTGCCACTCTGTGATTAAGGATTCCGGTCCAGATTTGGCCATTTCTGGGAAATTCACAAACTTTGCCATATGAATGTTCTTTGTCCCACCATATGACCATATATCCTTATCAGGAAATTTTTAGTATGATCTGAATCGTCATTTTTATGACCTTTGTAACTCTCTCCCCCAGCATACAGTTTGTTCGTTCATGAAAGGAATGAAAAAATGGATGTCCCTTTTCTGTGTTTTACCATTCTCTATTTTAATATATATTACTATGCATTTCTTTAGAATCTTTGCTTTCCTTTACTTTATTTTTCTATACTTTACTGTTCATTTCTTTACCTTCCTGTAATTTTTGGTATAGGTCAAATACGCACTGCCGTCCAAACTTGCAATCAGTTCAGTGTATTTGCAGTATTCGGGTGTATGTTAAGAAATATGAAATTCACCGGTTTGATGTGTAATAGACCATCACAGTCCTCACAGGGTTTTCTGATGACTTTTATTTATATTAATAATCTTATGTCATCAGGCTGGGCCATACCATCTCGCTCTAGAGGGAGTCCTGGTGTTGTGCATCATATGGCTCTTCACCGCCAAGAAGCAGCCCTCGAAGCTCGTCAGGCTGACCAAAAAGGTAAGAACGATGGGATTTTTCTCTGCTGCTGATTATTCAATTGGAAAGGTTATAGATTGATATCTTTAACAATGAGCTATCTTGTTTAGAATTTTATAGTAATTATTAAGAGTGTTGAAGTAACTATTCACTTGCCATACTGCATTCAGAATGAGATTTTCACATATTCTTGATTTGTTCTCTCCAGAGCCACTTGAAAATTTCTGTGCTTTATATTTAATCTTACAATCTAAAGTCAAAACTAATAGTTATATAGCATTAGGTAGAAGCTTCAGTGTCCATGCTTTGAGCTCTGGCAAAGGCTAACACACTATGTTTTCTGCAGAAATAGAACTAAGATTTATTCCTTCAGGATTTTATATAAGCTATGTCTTGCCAGTGGTTGACACCTAAGCGTCTCATAGGAATTTACTATTTTTGTTAAATTTAGTTTGGAAGAGAGTATGAACTGTAATTATTAGCTGTCTCTACTGGGTTTGTATCTGTAGGATTATGTACTGTTTATATAGTTGAGAATTTACATATATATGATGTTTGTGATCAGGAGGAGGAAGAGCTCATTGCTGAGTGGATGCCGGAGCCACTGGTGCCAAACCCTCCGCCAGAAGACCACCCAGCACTCCACACCCGCACTGTCTATGGAAAGGTAAATGCTGATGGAGTTTCAGGCTTGATTTTTATGTTTTTTCAGCATTGTCACTCTAGTAATTGTCAATAGAAGTATGAGTATTTGTGGAACCTATTTTGTTATTCAGTTTTTCGTTGAAGTTATTGAGAATTATTTTCCTAATGAAGATTCATTCATGGAAATGTGAGATGATATATTTGTGAAATTATTCATTCTCAGTTGCTTATCTTGTCTTTGAAGAATATGATCAGTGTATGAGATTTAGGGACATTCTCAATATGTTTTGATGGTTACATTTTAGTCATTAGATATTTTAGGTATTTTAGTCATTATATATCTCTTATGTCACCCCTAATGGCACAGTCAGTAATTTTAGAAACTGATTATGAGATTTTTTTTTACCTTGTTCATGATATACATTAACAGTCACAATTAAATATTTAGACACTATACTATCTGAAGGAATATTAAACATACCTGATAAAACATACTATAAGTAGGATGAGGATTTTTCCTTTATATTCAGGGGACAGTCATGGATAACCTTGTAAGTGTTTCATAACAATTGTTTTAATGAAACTGCCTTGCTAGAAAATGCTTCATGTTTATGATTGCCTTCTGAGCTTATTGGATAAGGATAATATTCAGTGGATAAAGGGGAAATATTCAACTTCTATTTCACATAAATTTGTACAAATGTTTTAAAACTTTTTCAAAGAAATTGGGTCAGGAAAGGGTACATTATTTGGTAGAAAATATGAATTATGGTATTTCTTGTGATGATATGTAATTTCTGATCAGAGATTGGTAACAATTTCATAGGATAATATATGTATTAATATTGATTAATTCTATGAAAACGTAGTGTAACTAACATTTCCATTCATATAGGTACATATTTTAGTTTTAGATACACTTATATAAGGATTTAAAAATTTGTTGTTATGCACTTGCTCCTGCACAAGCACATGCAAATATTTTTTTGCAAAGCAACCTTTTATCAGTTATAGATTTTTGAGGAATATACAAATTAATTGCACACACTTTGCACTTATGCACTTGTTCACTTATTTTTTATTCATTATTCTTGTTTTTTATGTAAATCAGAATTGTATGGAACTTTTGCAAGTATATGGAATTTTGATATGCCCTTTATCTTATAACTCTAAGAAAGTTTATTTACAGTAAATTAATAGTATTGATGCATTGGAAACTATATAAGAAAATAGGATATTTGCATTTTAGAATCATCTTACCCTAATAACCATTTACTTCTCTACAGGCTGGAAAGTATTTAGACCTAGGAAAAGGAGAGAAGTTACTGAACTTGGGTACACACAATTACCTTAACTTTGGAGAGCGTCCAGAGATTGAGAAAGCGGCACTAGAATGTCTCCACACCTATGGCGTAGGGTCTTGTGGGCCCCGTGGCTTCTATGGTACCACGAGTAAGTGTGTGAAGGGGTTTGTTATCATATATTAGCTCACTTTTTTCAGTTGAAAGGCCAGGATATGTAGGGTATAGATTTTGTGATTTCCTGTAATATTGACTGTAAGAGTTTCTATTTTAGTAACCAAGAATCCTAGATAGCATGCCAATATCATACAAAGATGTATTCTTGGGTAGATTTTTTATTCAGTACCTCTTTTTTCCACAATGTTTTTCTTCAAATGTCTTTGTTAGAAAAATACTTATTTTAAATGCTCTTTAGGCTGATCTTGGAAAGCTGTAAATCTAGAACTAGTGTCATATGAGAAATGAGAGTAGCCTCCATTGTCATGGCATATGTAGGTTCCATTAGTTGTAATTTTCAATTTTTACCAAAGTACAAAATAGATGAATTTGCTTGTAACAAATCATCCTGTATCATTATTAGAGGTCCATCTTGAGCTTGAAGAAAGACTGGCAGAATACTTCAACTGTGAAATGGCAGTCCTCTATTCATATGGATTCTCAACAAGTGCATCTGCAATCCCAGCTTACTCGAAGAGCGGTGACATTATATATGCGTAAGTGGCAAGCAGTCTGATAGCTCTTTTCATTGGAAGAAAAGAGCTGATTTTGATGACAGTTAAAGTTTACATTTATGGATAGAGGGCATTGTTTATTTGTCAGAACAATAGAGGTGAAGGAATTAAGATTATTAAAAAATAAAAGTTAAGAAGCAAGATGATAGAAGAAGTATAATTTCAGGTGGGGTGTTTACTCTCTTTATAGTGGGGTTTTCTGTCTGATATAATTATAGGATGATAGCTTCAATCCCATGATGGGGAATATCGGTGTTTTCAGGAAAAATGGATTCTTTGCACCATTATTATTGCCTGTTTATGTCAATAGGTTTTCCAATATTTATTACCCCAGATTGAGAGTTTTTAAAATTTCCATTCCCAGGGATGAGATGGTGAACTTCATTCTTCAGAGGGGCTTACAGGCCAGCAGGAGTCGCGTTGTATACTTCCGCCACAACGACATAAATCACCTTGAGGAACTTCTTGAAGAGCAAGTCAAGCAAGATAAGAAAGTAAATATATTTATTATTATAAATATTTTTATTAGTTATTATTTACTAGTATTAAGTTATATATTTTCTTGGCCACATGAGAACTTTTTGTAAGCTTAAGAATTTTTCTTTTTCCTATTCAGAAACATCTTTATTTTTTCATATCTAGAAACATGTTTTTTTCTCAAGTTCTAGCTGCTAACTCTTATGACTTATCAAAACCCTCAGGATCCCAGGAAGGCAAATGCAACTCGCAAGTTTCTGGTAGTGGAAGGCATTTACATGAACTCAGGCTTGATGTGTCCCCTTCCTGAACTGGTTAAACTGCGTCAGAAGTACAAGCTGCGCCTCTTTATTGATGAGTCGATCACCTTTGGCACCCTGGGGAAGAACTGTCGAGGAATCACAGACCACTTTGATGTTCCGGTTAGTGTGTCTTTTTAACCGTAGGAAGTTTAGTGGGAATCCTTTTTCTTTTGCTTGCTTTGAGAAGTGGTGGACGGAAATTTATTGAAATTATTATGTGTAATATGGTTGAAGTCACTGCATATTTGTCTGATTTAGAAAGGCTATTGCATTTAGATTATGTAAATTTTTAGAGACAGGCTAAAAAATACCCAAGCAAATTTACGTAAAATTCAATCTTTCTTGGTGAACAGATGAAGGAAGTAGACATGATCATGGCCAGCCTGGAGACCTCTGCAGCCAGTACCGGAGGTTTCTGCGTGGGAACCAAGTTTGTGATTGACCACCAGAGGCTGTCGGGTCTTGGTTACTGTTTTTCTGCTTCCCTGCCACCAATGTTAGCAGCCACTTCCATCAAGGTTTGTGCTGAGTAATGCTTTGGATACGATATATGTAGATTGTTTTTTTAAAGTGAGAAAATAAATTGTCTGTCGTTCAGATTTGAGAAGATTTGACTTGTCCCTAGATGGTGAATGGCATGATATATACATATGGATGGAATCACCACTACATTAGTTAGTCATATTTTTGTGTTCAGAATCTGAATACTTTCTAGTATTGATAATCAAGTTTGATTTCTATCTATCATTGTGTAGATCATTATAAGTAGTCCAGTGAATGAATAAAACAATATAAAACAAATAGAAAAGATTGAGAATTGGCTGGCAGTGGCAACCTGTCAGATGTTCCTTTTGACTGGTAGCCAACTGGTCAGCAAATAGTTAAAAACAAGTTTACAAGTCAGTTTACTGTATTTATATCAACATTACCACATGAATTAACATTAGCATACCCATTCCTTACTGCCCTTATTCCCATAACAGGTTGTAGACATCCTAGAGAAAGAAGGAGGTGACCTTGTTGCAGAGTTGCAAGACAAGTGTCGGCTGATGCACAACAAACTCAAGGGTCTTCCATCCAAGGTGATCATACTTTGCATTCTGATTTGGTGACGTACATTTTTATGTTAATCGTTATGTTTTTTTTTTTTTTTTTTTTTTTTTTATCACCACCATTGTTCTTACTATAGTTATTATTGGTGTATTATTGATATGGATGATATTAATGTTGATTTTGATATTATTAGTGTTATTATATTATGAATTATCATTATTGCATGGGTATCCCTCTCTGGTCCTTTTGAAGCAATTTTTTTTTTTGGATTTTTTTTTTTCTTTTTTTTTCTCATGCAGGTCAGTCTCTAGAGCTTTAATGGAAATCATTTTTCTTTCTGTCTTGCAGGTGACAGTCACCGGAGAAGACATCAGCCCAGTGAAACACCTTCGGCTGGTTGACTCCAGTGAAAGGGAAGTGGAGGAACAAATTCTCAGAGACATTGCGGAGAAGGTAGGCCTATCTGCTGGATGGCAGTTATGTGTGGTTGTATTCTTTGTCTCTTTCTTTTTCTTCTTTGATTTATTTTATTTTCTGTCTCTTTGTCTTGCTTCTTTCTTCTCTTCTCTTCTCTTCCTCTTCTTTCTTTTTTATCTTTTCTTTCCTTTTTTGTCTCTTTTACTTCTCTCCTCTCTCTCCTCTCTCCTCTACTTCTGTCCTCCCTCTCCTCCTCTTCCTCTCCTCCTCCTCCTCCTCCTCCTCCTCTCCTCCTCTCCCCTCCTCCCCTCTCCTCTCCCTCCTCCTCCTCCTCCTCCTCCTCCTCCTCCTCCTCCTCCTCCTCCTCTCCTCCTCCTCCTCCTCCTCCTCCTTCCTCCTTCCTCCTTCCTCCTCTTCTCTCTCCTCTCTCCTCATCCTCCTACTCCTTCTCTTCTCCTCCTCTTCTTCTCCTTTCTCTCCTCCTCCTCCTCTTTTCTCTTCCTCTTCTTCCTCCTCCTCTCTTCTTCCTCTCTCTTCCTCCTCTTCCTCTCTCCTTCTCCTCTCTCTTCTCTCCTCCTCCTCCTCCTCCTCTCTCCTCCATCTCTCTCCTCTTCCCATTCTCTGATTATTTTTTCTTACTTGTTAATTTTCAATTTAAGGGTAAAATTGCAGGTTAATGGAAAAGATCCCAGGTAATTGAATTTGTATTTTGCCTTCTTACAGTATTCATAGAAATTTTTGTCTCAGATGAAATCATTGGGAAAATCTTTTCTCTCATCTGCAGGCCGAGAACTATGGCGTTGCACTGACTGTGTCCTCTTACCTGTGGGATAAGGAGGCCAATCCCCCCAAGCCTTCCATCCGCATCACAGTGAACAAGGACCTGACAGAGGATGAAGTCGAGAAGGCCTTGGATGCCATAACGAAGGCGGTGACAGATATCCTTGGGTAGAAGGTGCATGAGAGAGAGGCAGTGTTTTGTTTTTCTTCTTTTTTTGTTGTTCTTTTTATCCTTGTTTGATTAACTGAATTCCAAAATGAAGTGTTTTATGTTAGGCTTGGATGCTACTGTGTGTTTGCTGTAGACGAGGAAGATGAACGTTGGCTCATGGGATTGTTTAAATGGCGGAGGATTTCCAAAACGGCATTGACTTTTCCTCATTTTGCCTGAGCAGGGGTTGAATTAATGGGAAATATGCAATGCGAATGACAAGAAGGGATTACCATAAGAAAGTGTGCTAAGATTATCTAGAAAGTTGTGTCGTTGATATGTATTTAGCTGATACTGATAGGTTATGGAACGTTAGGGAAATATGCTAGAATTTGTAACTTTTCCGAATTGAAAATATGATTTTTAAAAGAGAGAGAGAGAAGGGAAAGATAATGATTAACAACCTACTTAAAATAAATGGAAAGAAGCATGTAACTCATTGTGAGTGGAATTCATTTGCACAAAAAATACTTGTGATTTATGATTGTAAATAATTGGGTTGACTGGTACGTTTGGAGGTGTTATCTCTTACAGTTGGAGCTTGATTCTTTGAAAAGACACAGTAACCAAAGTCTAGTATTAATATGTTTAAAGGTTGCAGTATTTGTGCAATAAACATCTGTCAAGATTGTATCAAGAATTATTGTTTCTACTATTTTTGTTTTTATCTTTTGCCATTAAAAGTGATCTTATTTCTCTGTAGTGTCTGCCAGTTTATGAACATAAACCAAGCTGAATTGAGGACATGATAGATTTTGTGTAATTAGTTATGGTTGATTTGTATGTCTTTTTTTTAATGATTATTGAAGATGAACATAACAAGGTAAATGCCAAAGAATTCTGTAGCAGGATATAATATGTATCGTACATTACTCCTTTCAAAGTAATATAACTGTTTCATGATAAAATAAACTTATAAAGACTAGTGGCTGTGCTATTACCTAATGGTAGCTTATTTGTGACATTTACATAAACGCACACAAAAGAGATGAGTGTTAAATAATGTCAGTAATATATATAGCTTGCTTATATAATTGTAATGAACCTATTTATGAGACTCACTTCATAGGTTATTTGAGGTCTGCCTAATTTACATATATTGTATGCAAGTTTTGCTTTATATTTAACAAATAGAGTTAGTGATATTAGAAACAAAAGGTTACTTGAAGTCTGCCTTTCCATGCATAACTATAACTAGTTTTGCCCTTTATTTTACAAATATTGTGAATGATATGTGAAATAAATGATATTGTATTTTTCCATTTATCTGCAAGCCAGTTGAGCCAATCATAACAATGGCTGAGTTAAGTATCTGCATCTGAGATTGTTTAATCTTTTATGGATTGCATTGGAGGGAAATTGTGTTGTTTTAATTTTGGAGATGCATTCAAAGTTTCAACATTCCTTGCTTAGGCATTTTTACAAGGGTGATTGCATTATTTATGTTATATGATTTATTCCTTGGTTACTCAATTTATGATATGTTGATTTAGTTTGTTTATAAGATATGATGACTGTGAATTTGAAGTTCAAACACTAAGAATGTAGTTTATTAATATAATTAATGGTAATTTTTTCATCATCTGCAATTTGGTTTTGTAATTTCAACACCTCTGAAAAATATTCAGTTTATTTAGTAAGCCAATTCATTTTGTATGTGAAATTAAATATGCTTGATTATTTGCATGTTGATGTTAACAGTGCACTTTTCCACCTCCACGTAGAATTTTGCACAAATATACGAGGCAAATTAATAGCTGTCACTTTTGGTCTTTCTTTGGTATTTGCACACTTAAATATTCAACATATCACAGGAATGAATTTTGTGCATAGAGAGTTGCCAGTTTATTAGAAAGCAGTAAGATAAGGAGTCCATATATTATTCTTTCACTCCTAATAAACCAGTGTCTTTCCATTAAGGATTTTTATTTATACACAGGCCTGCATGCTGGTAGCGAGAGCACATTTTTCTTCCATAGTTTAAGGAGGAATATTAAGAGAAGTGATTTTTGTATGTGGATTTTTGAAGTTATACGTGATTGTGCCATTTTGACTCAGGTGTCAGTCTTTTTCATATTCAGTTTAAAATCATGAAAAGGAATGAATGTTCATGAGTAAATGAACAGAGACAGTTCTGTATGTCTGAGTCAGATTTTTCAATAATTAGATTAGGAGGGAACCCCTTCTTTGTTCTCATTTTTTGTTTTTTGTTAAAAGTCTGCAAGATTTATTTCATTTTTTGTTTTTTGTTAAAAGTCTGCAAGATTTATTTATCTGTTTTTCTTTTGTGTTTCATATTTTTCCCTTCCTTATTTTTTCCTTTTTTCAATCATGGAATCATTGTACCTGAATAATGGTTCAAGGTTATTGTATTTGTCTGGCACTTATCTCGTAAAAGATATGCTCTTAATTGTAATTGATACTCAAATACTTTCAACCAAGTTCTCAAGTTATTTCACAGCTGTAGATTTGGAGTCCATTTATAATGGAATGCAATCAAGGGTATTAATAAAACCTTTTTGTTTTATCAGTTCTATATTTTAAAAAATTGAAGAAGTGGTCTTATTATATTATATAGCGTCCAGTATTTTACAAAAATGACAAAGCCAAGAGGATTTCCACTTCGAGAAAATGAAATTGATATCGGTCTCGTTATCATCATCCTCTTTTTTTAGTGGTGCCTTCTTAGATAATTAGAGGAATATCAGGGTGTTTTGCCAAGTATGAAAGTAGTAAACTAATATGCTTATGAAAAAAAAGGTTATCTAGTTATATAATTCTATTACTGAAAGCTAGTGCCTATGTACAAGAAGTATACATTGTCTTTTATGTAATTATATATATGTATTTTAATGAAAGGAAATCATTAATCATATAAATCCTTGAATATTATCTTAATGAGCATTTTGAGAATTGTTTTGTAATATTAGGTTGTAAGCTTGGCATTTACGTTTAATTGATCTGATAAGATAAATCTTATGTGAAATTATTGTTTGATTAGAACTCATTTCATTGCGGGATGTGCATTATGAATCCAAGTGCGGTTTATTACACTAGTCTTATGGATTTCTCTTTTCTAGTTTGCAATATGTAATCATAACTGAAGTGTTTAGAACTAAAAGGGTGGATCCATCCAGATTTTATTTTATGTAAGTTGTAAGGTATAATTACCAATAAAATACTTAGCATGTGTATGTTTATACTCATTTTGCCCACAATGCCAAGGCAATTGCACATCTGTATGTACATGTGTAATTATACATATATTTACATAAATTTCCCCTTTGGGTTCTGGATACCTCCTTTTCTTTCTTTTTTATTATTTCTTGTGCTTCTTAACATGATATGTATATGAGATCTGTATGTTATGTATGTGTCAATATAAATTTGATTTATGAAGTTGGTTTTAATTTACATGATTCTTGGGGGGAATGATAAAAAAGACCAGGAGGGGGAGGAGGAAGAAGAAGAGGACCTCAGGCCACCAGTGTATTTCTGACACAAGATACATTCATTACCGGTGAAATACATCTCTTGTTTTGTGAAGCTATGCATTCTCATTCACACCTTTATATATGTCAACGTGAATATGGTTCATTATCCATCATCATTCCCATTTTTATTTTTGTTTTTAAGAGAGCGATTATTATGACATTATAGATTTTTGATGAAAATTAAACCAATGAAACTGTAAGGTATGGAGAAAAATACACTTTCAACAGTTTCAGTTACATTATAACGCAACTTTTTTGCAATTGGGCAGAAAGAAAACGAGATGATATACTGTGGTGGGCTCTTGTGATTATGAGAGTGACCGAGTGAGTGAGTGAATTACTAATTCAGTGAGTGTTGGGTGAGGACGAGAGCAAAACACAAACGCATTGAACTGTTCGTGAATATGAGTGAAAACTGACGCTGTGCTCAGGGTGCATTTATGCGATGTGTTTCGTCATATTTACTGCGAGAAAAATGAGTGAAAAGTGGATTTGTGTGATGGACAGACAATGTATGGGAACATAGTCGTGTTACCTAAAAAACAAATGCCAGTGGCGCGATGGTACCAGAAATATTTAGTTCCATTACTACACCATTACAGCGAAATAGACTGAAAGTAATATGCGTAATACATACGCAATGCTATGAGAATTATCTGACGGTGTCCTAATAATGGGAGATGGGAATGTAAATGAACCTAAAACGTACATAATACTTGCCGCCAAATATAATAATATTCAATCAGAGCAAGGCCTTTAAAGAGTGGTGTTACCCAATTATAAGTACCATGGTTTAGACGAACAACTGCAAAGGTCGAAAACTGGAATCAATACCTCAAGACGAGGGTGACGAAGGTCCAAATCTTGATCTTGAACGTTGGTGAAACAAAATCTGAGTGACATGACTAAGTCTAATACTCGAGGTCGTTGGGAATAACACTTCGTCTCAACCACTCCAACATCAGTCGGCGGGCGTCATTCTAAGCCGGAGATAGGCAAGTATGGCTTCAAACATGGCTTCAAACATGGCTTCAGACATGGCTCCCTGTCCACAATGTATCCACCCGGCCACAGGGAGATAGGGATTAAAGCATGGTGTTGGCTTCTTTAAACGCGAAGCCTTTTGGACGTCTAACGGTTACTATAAGCAGTGCCGTAAAGTTTGAATGAAGATTGGATTTTTATGGCGCCATTCGTAGGCCTATGGTGATTCTAGCATAAGATCTGGATATGAAATTCTTCAGGGGCAAAGCCAACAGAATAAGAGGGTACTTAAGGACTTTATGAGGTGAAAGGACAAGAAAAAAGAAAAAAAAATGTATATTGTCAGCATTTTAAACGTTTGCAGGGAAACTCACTATACACGAACTAGGTTTAGGTCTGTCTCTCTGTCTCTCTCGCTCTCTGTCTCTCTTGCTCTCTGTCTCTCTGTCTCTCTCTCTCTGTCTCTCTGTCCATATGTCAGTGCAGTAAAATGTTTTGGCATTCCAGTAAAATTTTCTACACACGAAAAGGAACTTAAAAAAAAAAAAAAAAAAAAAAAAAAAAAAAAAAAAAAAAAAAAAAAAAAAAAAAATATATATATATATATATATATTATATATATATATATATATATATATATATATATATATATATATTATATATATATATTATATATGCGGTGCATTTTCAAGCAATAGGCAACAATTAGTTTTGATTACATTATTTGTTGAAAATTATATATATTAAAAATTATATATCGCAGACGGGGAGAAAAATAAAAAAAATTATTCATCACACATTTATTTCAAATTATTACCGTTACAATGTCAGGAGGGTAAACTACATCACTTGAATATGTTCTACATTGCATTGTATTTGATTTAGGACTGTATTATAAAATGCACAACTTGACACGAAAAAAACTTTGTTGATTTGGAAGTATAAAATGAAGAGAAATAATACAAGAAAAAAAAAACGGAATAATGGGAGACGAATAAAATGAAGCGACACTCAAAACAAATCACAATAAAACATATGAACAAAACTAAAAAGAAATAATAATAAAAAAAACAACAACAAAAAACGGAAGCTTTACCCACGTGTAACTAAAGACTCCGGGAATCCTGCCAAAAACAAAATAGCATTGTGTGGTTTTGTTAGTACAGTTAAAATTTTTGTTTGTTATTCTACTGTTTCCAATATATATATTTTATCCACGAATAATTAATCAACTTATCAAACCGCGGATCTGTATCTAAAAAAAAATATATACAATAATCGTCTCTTTCTCTTATAATCTTGTCGAATGATAAAATAAAATAAATAAATATATAAAAAACAACAATAATTTTCTTTTATTATAATCATGACGAATTAAAAAATGAAATAATAATTTCTTTTATTCTAAACTTGTCGAATAAATGAATAAAAAACAACGACAATAATTTCCTTTTATATTATAATCTTGTCGAATAAAAACAACAACAATAATTTCCTTTTATCATAATCTCGTCGAATAAATGAATTAAACCAATATTTATATTTTGGTGACGATGATTTCCAGCAACAAGGCGAGAAGCGACAAGAGGAACCCGATGAGTAGGATGAAGAATGCCGCCTGGTGGAGGAAAAAGGAACTATTTCATATTTACATTTTTTTCGGGGAAGAGGTGTCATGGCGTCATATTCTATTTTTTGGAAAAAGCACATGGGGTTTATTTTGATGACGGCACAAAAGTTACGGATTGTTTTGTGAATATGGTCGATCATTTTTTTTTTTCAAAAAGGATGGAAAATAATGACTTTAATGGTTATATTTTCATTAAACAATCATCAAAACAGACGCCATGACACCTCCTCGGGTTGCTACTGATCTAGCCTTCCCATTTCTTTACATGAAAACATTCTGAAATTAGAATGATTTTTTTTCTTGTTTGTTCCGAGTAATACATCTTTATTCTTGATATATTAGATTTGTTTAAAATAGTATTATTTTAATATAATTATAGGTATACCGTTTTTATACTTTATATTATTGCAATATACTTATCATAATCTAGATCACTAATTCATAGTTATTTAGCATACCTAGAAAGATTATCTCATACTTGGAATGTACTTACACAGATATAATTATCAGAATTTACTATATTATATATACAGCAAATCATAATATACTCCATCATACTTCCATAAAACCAAACATTTTCCTTAATACTACAAAAACTAATAAATAAATAAATAAATAAATTAATAGAATAAACAAACCATAAAAAGTGATAATATATGAATAAACAAATAAAAGCAAAAACGAAAAAAAATATGAATAAATAAATAAAACAAAAAAGGAAAAATATGAATAGATAAATAAAACAAAAAATGAAAAATATGAATAAATAAATAAAACAAAAAAGAAAAAAAGTAATAATATATGAATAAATTAAAAACAGAAAAGACTAAATAATATCTGAATAGATAAATGAACGAATAAAAAAACAATAAATAATAATAATAATAATAATAAATAATAATAAAAACAATATCGAAAAAATCGAATGAATAATAAAACAATGAATAATAATAATAATAATAATAATAATAATAATAATAATAATAATAATAATAATAACATTATCGAAAAAAAAAAAAAAACGATATTAAAAACCCTAACCTGCAGGTGCTCGAGGGTGATCGCCGAGGGACCGCCGGCCACGCCCTTCCTGGAGGAGGAGGTCGTCCTCGACACCTTCTGCACCTCGTCCTGGGCCCACTTGTTGACCAGGCCGCCGAGATCATGCGACCCAGCCTTCAGGAGGGGGTGGAGGGAGGGGGAGGTGGGGGTGAAGGGAGAGGGGAGGGGGTGAAGGGATGGGGAGGTGGAGGGGGAGCGTGTGAGGGTGAAGGGAGGGGGAGTGAGGGTAGAAGAGGGGTGAAGGGAGGGGGTGAAGGGGAGGGAGAGGAGAGGGTGAAGGGAGGGGGAGGAGGGGTCGATGGAGGGTGATTGGAAGAGGAAGGGGGTGAAGGAGGGGGAGGGGTGAAGGGGTGGGGAATGAGGTAGATGGAGGGGGGAAGGGAGGGGAAGGAGGGGGTGGAGGGGAGTGGGGATGATAAGGGAGGGGCGCGTGAGGGCGTAGAAGAGGGGGTAAGGGAGGGGACGTGAAGGAGGAGAGAGGAGAGGTGAAGGAGGGGAGGAGGGGTAGATGGCAGGGGTGAAAGGGAGGGAGAGGAAAGGGGGGTGAAGGGAGGGGGAGAGGGTGAAGGGCGTGAGGGGATGAGGGGCTAGAGGGGCGGGAGGTGGAGGTGAAAGAGGGGGAAGAGGGGGGAGGAGAGGTAGATGAGAGGGGGATGAAGGGGGAGGAGGGGAAGAGGGAGAGGAGAGGAAGTGAATAACAGGAATTTGGGGGGTGGAGATGGGGGAGAGGGAGGGGATGGGAGGGAGAAGGGAAGGGGTGATGGTGGGGAGAATGGGAAGGAGGGGAATCAAGGAGAAGAGGGAAGGGGAAGGGGGTGGATAGAAGAAAAATATGTAAATGCGGTGTGGTATTGTAATTTTAGTCGGTATATACACATAAACCCCTGAGGATAGAAGGTCTCTATTCCTCCTCCTCCTTCTTCGTCTCCCCCTCCCCTCCAGCTCCTTCTCAATGCTCCTTCTTCCTTCTCCTTCTCTTCCGCTTCCCCCTCCTTCTCCTCCTATCCTCCCCCTCCTTCTCCTCCTCCCTTTCTTCCTCTTCCTCCTACCTTCCTCCCCCCCTCCTCTCCTCCTCCCTTTCTTCCTCTTCCTCCTACTCCTTCTCCTCCTCCCTCCTCCCTTTCTCCTCTTCCTACCTACTCCTTCTCCACCTCTCCCTCCCCCCCCCCCCACTCACATCTGATTGAAAACCCCAAGGAAGGCGCCCCGATAGCAAGCGATGCCGTAGCCCTGAAAGTAGAAGACCTCCTCCTCCTCCGTCTCTCCCTCCTCCTTCCTCCAGCTCCTTCTCATGCTCCCCCTCCTTCTCCTCCTCCCTCCTCCTCCTCCTTTCTTCCTCCTCTCTTCTCCCCTTCCCCCCTCCCACTCCTTCTCCACCTCCTCCTCTCCCCCCCCCACTCACATCTGATTGAAGACCCCAAGGAAGGGCGCCCCGGAGTAGCAGGCGATGCCGTAGCCCTGAGGGTAGAAGACTCTCCTCCTCCTCCTCCTCCTCCTCCCTTTCTTCCTCGTCTCCCCCCCCTCTCCTCCTTTTCTTCCTCTCCTCCCCCTCTTTCTCCTCCGTTTCCCCCTCCCCTCTCCTCCTCCCTCCTCCTCCTCCTCCTCCTACTCCCCCACCAACCCCCCCACCTCCTCTCTCCTCCTCTCTCCTCCTCCTCTTCCTCCTTTTCTTCCCCTTCCTCCTCCTATTTCCCCCACTCACATCTGATTGAAAACCCCAGGAAGGGCGCCCCCGAGTAGCAGGCGATGCCGTAGCCCTGGGGGTAGAAGACCTCTTTCTCCTCCTTCCTCCTCCGCCTCCTCCCTCCTCCGTCCTTATCTCCGGGTCTCCCCCTCCCCCTTCCTCCTTCTCCCACTCCTCCTCTCCTCTATTCCTCCTACTCCCCCAACCAACCACCTCACTCACATCTGATTAAAAAACCCCGAGGAAAGCGCGCCCGGAGTAGCAGGCGATGCCGTAGCCCTGGTTAGAAGACCCTCTCCTCC